CATAAAAACGACATAGTATAGTAAGGCATAAAAAGTCATGAAAATGACATAGTATATTAAGGCATAAAAAGTCATAAAAACGACATAGTATTGTAAGGCATAAAAAGTCATGAAAATGACATAGTATATTAAGGCATAAAAAGTCATAAAAACGACATAGTATTGTAAGGCATAAAAAGTCATGAAAATGACATAGTATAGTAAGGCATAAAAAGTCATGAAAACGACATAGTATAGTAAAGCATAAAAAGTCATGAAAACAACATAGTATAGTAAGACATAAAAACAACATATTACAGTAAGGCATAAAAAGTCATAAAAATGACATAGTATAGTAAGGCATAAAAACGACATAGTATATAGTAAGGCATAAAAAGGCATACGACCTATTATAGTAAGGCATAAAAACGACATATTACAGTAAGGCATGAAAAGTCATAAAAAAACACTTAGTATAGTAAGGCATAAAAAGACATAAAAATGACATAGTTTAGTAAGGCAAGAAAACGACATAGTATAGTAAGGCATAAAAAGTCATGAAAACGACATAGTATAGTAAGGCTTGAAAACGACATAAAAATGACATAGTATAGTAAGGCATAAAAATGACAGTATAGTAAGGCATGAAAATGACATAGTATAGTAAGGCATAAAAACAACACATTACAGTAAGGCATGAAAAGTCATAAAAATGACATAGTATAGTAAGGCATAAAGAGTCATGAAAACGACATAGTATAGTAAGGCATAAAAAGTCATAAAAACGACATAGTATAGTAAGGCATAAAAAGTCATGAAAATTACATAGTATAGTAAGGCATAAAAAGTCATAAAAACAACATATTACAGTAAGGCATAAAAAGTCATAAAAATGACATAGTATATTAAGGCATGAAAATGACATAGTATAGTAAGGCATGAAGACATAGTATAGTACGGCATGAAAACGACATAGTATAGTAAGGCATAAAAAGGCATAAATTTGACATAGTATAGTAAGGCATAAAAACAACATATTACAGTAAGGCATAAAAAGTCATAAAAATGACATATTATAGTAAGGCATAAAAACAACATATTACAGTAAGGCATAAAAAGTCATGAAAACGACATAGTATAGTAAGGCATAAAAAGGCACAAAATCGACGTAATACCGTAAGGCATAAAAACAACATATAGTAAGGCATAAAAAGCCATAAAATCAACATAGTATAGTGAGGCATAAAAAGTCATAAAAACAATATAGTATATTAATGCATAAGAACGACCTATTATAGTAAGGCATAAAAAGTCATAAAAATGACATATTATAGTAAGGCATAAAAACAAAATATTACAGTAAGGCATAAAAAGTCATGAAAACGACATAGTATAGTAAGGCATGAAAACGACATAGTACAGTAAGGCATAAAAAGGCACAAAATCGACATAATACCGTAAGGCATAAAAACAACATATAGTAAGGCATAAAAAGACATAAAAATGAAATAGTATAGTAAGGCATGAAAACGACATAAAAATGACATAGTATAGTAAGGCATAAAAAGTCATGAAAACGACATAGTATAGTAAGGCATGAAAACAACATAAAAATGACATAGTATAGTAAGGCATAAAAATGACAGTATAGTAAGGCATGAAAATGACATAGTATAGTAAGGCATGAAAACGACATATTACAGTAAGGCATAAAAAGTCATGAAAACGACATAGTATAGTAAGGCATAAAAAGGCATAAAAACGACATAGTATAGTAAGGCATAAAAACAACATATTACAGTAAGGCATAAAAAGTCATAAAAATGACATAGTATAGTAAGGCATAAAAACGACATATTACAGTAAGGCATAAAAAGTCATGAAAACGACATAGTATAGTAAGGCATAAAAAGACATAAAAATGACATAGTATAGTAAGGCATAAAAATGACAGTATAGTAAGGCATGAAAACGACATAGTATAGTAAGGCATAAAAAGGCATAAAATCGACATAGTATAGTAAGGCATAAAAACAACATATTACAGTAAGGCATAAAAAGGCACAAAATCGGCATAGTACAGTAAGGCATAAAAACTACATAGTCTAGTAAAGCATAAAAACGTCATAGTATAGCAAGGCATGAAAACTCATAAGAACAACATAGTATAGTAAAGCATAAAAATGACATAGTATAGCAAGGCATGAAAAGTCATTGTATAGTAAGGCATAAAAAGTCTTAAAAATTACATAGTATAGTAAGGCATAGAAAGGCAAAAAATCAACATAGTATAGTAATGCATAAAAAGACATGAAAACGACATAGTATATTAATGCATAAGAACGACATATTATAGTAAGGCATGAAAAGTCATAAAAAAACACTTAGTATAGTAAGGCATAAAAAGTCATAAAAATGACATAGTATAGTTAGACATAAAAACAACATATAGTAAGGCATGAAAACGACATAGTATAGTAAGGAATAAAAACGACATAGTATATAATAAGGCATAAAAAGGCATAAAATCGACATAGTACAGTAAGGTATAAAAACTACATAGTATAGTAAAGCATAAAAATGTCATAATATAGTAAGGCATAAAAACAACATATAGTAAGGCATAGAAAGGCATAAAATCAACATAGTATAGTGAGGCATAAAAAGTCATGAAAACAACATAGTATAGTAAGGCATAAAAACAACATATTATATAAAAACTGTCATAGCCAAGTCAATTAAGACAACTTCCTATACTACAACATTTACACAAATAAGACTGGATCAAACCTAGTATATGTCTGGACCTATGGTCATATCCTGATACTATTACTGCAATGTCCCCTGAAAAAAATCACCAAAGACACAAATGAAAGCCAAAGACTGACTGTGATTTCAGGTGTATTTATTTATGAACACTTTGGAGAAATGCCAGTTTTAGTTCTTCAGATCATCCCGGGGCTCTGAAGAACTATTTGTGAATAATTGGTTGATAATGTAAATTTACATCTGAATATATTAAATAAAAGTGTTATAAAGTCAATAGTGGTGCGTATGTTATTTGTAATTAAGTTTCCAACCCCACTTTAGTTGAAAGACTACATACAGAGACTTAACAATTTAATTTGCATTTCTTAAGTAAATTATATCTTATGAGAAATGTAAGAAAATTAATCCGCATCTGAATCAGTAAATATTGTATTTAGATTTTGCTTCTACACGTTTTAACATTACTTTACACTTTAGATTAAATGTTAACACAAATACTGCAAGTTGATGTTTGACATGATTTTAATCTGTTTTACACAGTATTTTTTACTTTGTCTTCCGAAACAAAAGGTTTACTTTACAATATTAAGCATGTGTTAATATTTCATTGATTGACATTTTATTATTAGGAAAAAGTTTCTCTGCAGAAACTTTTGATCATAATAAATTATGAGAAATCTGTAAAATATATTTTACTTTAATTTTATGGTCTTTGTTTGGCTGCCGCTGCCGCCAGTCATTTGAATGTTTTTTTATGATTTTTTTTACAGTGTAGAAAGGCATAAAAAATCATAAAAACAACATAGTATAGTCAGGCGTAAAAAACGTGATGGAAACATCATAGTACGGCAGTACAATAACGTATAAAAATGTTGTAGTTCAGTTCGTGTGGCGTAGTGGTCTAAGCAGGCACCCCATATGTAGAGGCCACAGTCCTCGCTGCAGTCGGCCCCGGCTCGAGTCCCACATCGGACGGCGCTTTACTGCATGTCATTCCCCCCATTTCCTGTCTCTCTCTACTGCACTATCAATAAAGGCATAAAAAGCCCAAAAAAATATATACTTTAAAAATGTTGTAGTTTAGAACATACATACGGTGAAACTCTCAAAGTAGAGTTAGAAAGATAAATAACTCAATCAAAAACACACATTCAGACATTTCTTTATTTATTTACAGTTTCTTAAAACACTTGAGCATTTTGAATGCTGATTATTGACAAAACAAAAGTTTAACATCGTCTCAAGAGTGAAAGATGATGAAGAGCTGACGGATTCATTGGGATTCTTTTTGTCCTTTAATCCTGAACGAGGAGGAGAGAGAAGAGGAGGGGGGAGGAGGAGAGAGGTATTCTGCATGTTTCTGACCGTCCACAGAAAATAAATGACACAATAGAAATAAACATAGAGGAAAAAAAACTGATAATGATTATTGATTGGCCTTAAAAGAAGAATAAATAAACATCTAATAGAGCTTCAGCATGGTTCAACCTAATCCCTCAAATTTACCTTGAAGTTCAGTTTAACCATCAAAGGTGATGTCATTCATTCTAATGAGACTTTATGGGGATAATTAATGGTTAGTAATATATTAATTATTTCTTCATTAATTTATCCTTGATAACAAACACTGTAAATGAAGATGTTTGGTAGTTAGACCTAAATCTGTCCTTTCATTCTAAAACTAAAGCTTAACATCTGTTTGAAAAAACCCTTAATGAACAAATGAAGTAGATTTTAATGTGCAAATGACTTTCCCTTTAATTAAGAAAGACAAATTCATTAATGATGAGTTATTAAGGTTCGTGTTGGAGAGCTGAAACATTTTCAGCTGCTGTATTTATTAATTATGTTTACTCTGACTCACTAAAACATTAATGGAATAAAATCCCTTAAAATTTACAAAAAAAATCTCATATAAGTCATTTGTACCTAAAATTACTGTAATTTTACTTAAATGTACAAACTCTTAAATGAATACATTTAACGTATTTTTTTATGCCTTAAAAACCCCTTAAACACTGAATCTGTTCAAATCCATGAATGTCTCCATTAATTCAGTTCAAAATCTGTGTTAATCTGTTAAAAAACTTAATACCGGATCAAGAATCCTTTAAATTTAATCATCAATTTATAGCTGAACATGTTTCTGAGCCCTAACGTAAACCAAAATCCCTTAACCTTAAGGACTTTTTCAAATTAAATGTATGTGTAACTACCAAACACCTGACTCAGACTGAGGTGTTTTCAGGGGTAAATTCAGATGAATTCATAGTGAATTCAGGGTATTTAAAGTGATTTTTGTTTGACAAAGTCCTCACAGCTCCGTGCTCCTTCACCGATCACCAGGTTAAAATATCTTAAAGCGTCTGATCCAGACAGCGAAGCCGTTTCTAAAGCAGCAGAGAGTCACAGGACGACGCTGACAGATCAACCCGACGACATCAGAGACGCCCGTCGTACAAAAACATCTTACAGTCTCATTATGTACAAGGTCAAGACACAGTTTATGTACAAACTTCTCATCCTCTCAACCCTCCGTCCAGCGTCAACGTCCCGAACCTGAGCGAGCGAGAGACAGAGAGAGAGAGAGGTCAGAGGTTAATGTTTGGTTCTGTCATTTGAGGTATACATTAATGTGTTAAAGGGATTTTAATTGTGATTTTGTGAACGTTGTTAATGTATTTAATGGGTTTTCACACAGTTTAAGGCGTTCAGAGGGTGAAACCCATTAAAATGTACAAAATATCATCAAAGCCTTCTATGAATTATCACTTTCATTTGAAGATAACGTTACTTTTATAGGGGTTTAAACCCTTCCTAACCATGGAGGAAATACATTAAAAATAGCTTCATATTACAATCAATGAGTTAAAATCCCTTAAAGGCTTCATGAATTCACCAACTCCTCAATAAAGCTGACAATGGATGGATGGCTTGAATGCTACTTGGTTCACTTAAGGAGTTTTTACACCATTAAAGAAACATGGAAAACGAACCATTAATGTTCCAGTCAGTTACAGGACTCTCAGTTTAATTCTACAACATGTAAATCAGACATGTTTGATGGCTAACAGTTTCCCCCTGCTTCCAGTTGTTATGCTAAGCTAGGCTAACATGTATCTCTACCTGAACCATGTGACTCTCAGAAAATGACCTCTGACCTCTCTAAGAAGTGGTTGTTCTCTGCCAGCTCTTTGACCACGCCCTCCATCTCCTCCTTCAGCTTCTTCATCCTGAAGAACAACATGGAGTCAGTCAGGGACTCTGATGATGATGATGATGATGATGATGATGAAGAGTAAATCAAACACTTACCCGAGTGTCATCTCCACCAGTGTGTTCTGGCTCAGGTAGGCCTGAGGCTTCATCCCACTGGACACCAGAGGAAGAACCTTCTGAGGCAGCTGTTCCTGCAGCTGGAGACACACACACACACACACACACACACACACTCCAGTGTTTAACAGCACCTACAGCCAGTGTTTCCTCTGTGTATTTCTTATGTTACTGTCACAGTATGTGATGTGCAGTGGTGGATTGTGGGTAATGTGTTTTACCTTGATGGCTCTCTCCATCAGCATGGTGACCTCCTTCTCGATGCTGATCAGCTGACTGGACAGACTGAGCAGCTGCTTCCTCACGTGATGAACCTTCCTGAAAACACAAACACACACGCTTCACTGTTCACACTGTCGCCTAGCAACAGAGAGTGACACCACTCAGACTGTGTGTTAGTGCAGGTGAATGAGATGTGTGAGGAGATGAAGGTCAGAGAGATAATTGTCTTCATCAGTGTTTTACCTCATCCACTCTTCACTCTTGGAGATGAACAGACGATATTTCATGGCGCACTCCTCTGTGAACAGAGATCTGGCTTTACTGGCATGAAGGACCAACTTCTGTCTGTCAGAGACACAACACACACACACACACACACACACACAGGTCAGGATTTCAGAATAAAAGTCTGATGGGGTAAAGAAACGCAATCAGTTAGTGAAATCTGCTGATCAATCAACTTACTTGTCAAATTTATGGATCTGTTCCTCGTTGTACGGCAGACCTGAACACAGAGGAGGGAAACCATGTGAATGTAATGTAATGTTATATATATATATACACTATGTATACACATAGTTATCATTATGTGGAGGTTGGACTTTCTGACATTAAACACTAACAGCTGAGTAATGACTGAACTGTTGTTGACACACTCACGTCTCTCTGCTTTGTCCTTCTTGAACTGCTGGTAAATGGCTGTGATGGCGTCCAGCAGCACTTTGATTTTCTCCACACTGCAGAGACAAGCTCACCGTCACACACTGATTTACACACACACACACACACACACACACACACACACACACACACACACACACACACACACACACACACACAGGGTTTACTGCTTGTAAACACACACACAGTCTTACTTCCTGTCCTTGGGGTGTGTTCCCACTTGTTGTGTCCAGCCGTCAGTCAGCAGGCCTCCTGGGAGAAATTTACTCTTGATGTCTTGTGTTGTTCGCTCGATGGGCTCCAGAGAGCTGGAGATCTGCAACCATCCACAGATTATTGTGTTTCACAAGTTTATCCTCAGAAACACCTCAAACACCATGGCAACCACATACAGAACATTCAGGAACACACTCAGAAAAAATGACTTTCACTTCAACTAGTAACCACAGATCATTAACACCTTAGCAACCACATACTAATGCCTTAGCAACCACCTTAAACACCTCAGCAACCATGTATTCATGCCTTAGCAACCATCTTAAACACCCAAGCAACCATGTATTCATGCCTTAGCAACCATCTTAAACACCTTAGCAACCATGTTGCCTTGGGAACTATCTAAAATACTTTAGCGACTTCATGCTAATACCTTAGGAACAACCTTAAACACTTTCGCAACAACCTTTTAATGTCATAGGAACTAATACCCAAAGAACCACAATTAATACCATAGCAACCAAGTGCAAATGCTGAGTAAACCACCTTACACCACATACTAAAGCCTTAAGAACCCCCTTGAACCCTTAGCAGTCATACAGCTTTAGCCACCACCTAGTATCATCTTAACAACCAGTATTTAGGGTGTTGTGATACAACATACCAACCACTGAGGAGGTCGTTAGCACTGGCTGCTGATTTAGACTCAGACAGCTCTCACAGATTTCATCCAGAAAACACAGAGTTTACTGTTTTACTTCCTGAAGTAAACACATAAATATATTGGAACATGTTAAAGTCGTCATGTGGAGGACTCACTCTGCGAACCTTCTTGTGCATGTCTGAGATCTCGTCGTACTCTGTCGACAGCACGTTGCCCTGCATCAGCACCTCGAACCTGGACGACACAGCAGAGTTAACAGTCTGTGGTTCGACTGTAGCTACACTGTCACATGATGTTTGTTGTGTGCGTCACTCACAGCTGCTCGGTTTTCTCCAGGATCTGTGTGCAGTAGTTACACAGATGGAAAACCTCTGACTTCTTGTGCTGGATCTCGCTGTAGTCCTCCTTCATCAGCTCTCTGGATACAAACATGTAAAGACGTGATGTTTTAACCATCGACACACTCCACTACTGAATTCTCTCTATGTGAGAGAGGAATCTTTTATTCAGTCCAGGCTCACTGCTTTACATCAGGTTTTTCAAAAATCTTTGTTCATTTCCTTTGACTTGGAAACTATGTGACACTTTTCTTTTATATTCTGATCCACTTCATGTATGTAAATGAAGACAGCAGCAAAAAGGAAGTGAGTCACATCTGAAGTCTGCTCAGAGTCCTGGTTCTGTCCTGGATCCTGTTTCATTACATACATTAGTTACATGTTGTGAACTCACATTAAACCTCGGACTCCTTTTCGCACCAGTTCCTGATAAACCAGCAGAGACTCGGAGGTTTTCCATAAATGTCCGACGTCGCCTGCAAAAGTCTGAACAACAGGAACAGGAAGTTCAGTCATCGAAGAATACAAAGGACATCTGCCAGCCAATCAGCTGTTGGCGTTAAATGGTCACTGGTGTAAAAATGAAACCTTAACTTGCTGCACTAAATCTTTTTCTCTTACTCTTTAAATTATCATTAATTATTAAGGTAACTGCACCTTTGCGTAGCTGGCGTCCAGGTCGAGGTCGTAGCGAGGCTGCACTTTAGGAGGACTGGCTGTGGAGACACAAACACTCAGAGATAAAGCAGCAGCGACTTCTTCTCTGGTTTGAATTCACACAGGTTCTGTACAGAGCTGCTGCACCGCTCGTTCAGAGGCGAAGGAAAGGTGGAGGTTCTGATTTTGATTTACGAAGCAGAAGCAGCAGCTTGATAATATGAGTCTGCAGGTTCAGGAAGTAAAATTTAAGACCTGGTATTTAATTCAAGACTGAACCGGATTGTGTGACTGGACGATATTTCAATTCTGAATGTATAAATACAAGAAATGTCTGTTTTAGAGACTGTAGGTTTTAGTTGCTCTGCCGCCGCCGCCCTGCAGGAGGCAGCGTCTCACTACGTACGGTCTTCGAAGATGAGTCCCACGGTGGCGACGGACTCGCGGCTGACGAGCATGATGGGATTGTCCCTGGAGGTCTTGGGGAAGGTCTTGGCCTGGCGGTTGGGGTCTAGGACGAGGCGGCGGCCCTCGTACAGCAGCTCCTGGTTGTGCAGAGGGATGCTGGTCCTGCGGGACAGCAGCTCCTGGAACAGCGCCGCCCTGTGGACAGGTGGAGAACAGAAGCTGTCAGACTCACAGGAAGTTTAAATCAGATGTTTTTAAAGCAGCAGATGGAGCTCAGCAGGGAACTGGAAATTTCCTAGAATCTGTGACACCACTTCCTGTCTGACGGCGTGCCCGCTGCGTCTCTGAGTCTTACGTGTTGTACTCGTGGATGTAGACGTGGTGCAGCGTGGCCTGCTGCAGGCTGAAGACGTACACCACCGTCCTGTGCAGGATGTCGTTGGTCTCGGCGAAGAACTGGTCGAAGCCCCAACACTTCTCCTGATCCGCCTCCAGGATGTTGGCGAGGACCGGAGTCAGGAGACTCTGAAGACCCCTGGAACATCAGAGCAGAGGGACACAGGTGTGGGGTGAACAGGTGAGCTCAGGTAGATCAGTCTCCACCTCGGAAACAAGAGTTTGACAAACCCTCAGTGGTCACATTATATGTTATATAATATATAATATGTTATATAATATATAATATAAGTCACAACATGTTCTGAGTGAATGGTGTAAACAATAAATCCTGTCAGGTTCACATTCAAATGACTCATTTCATCTATTTATTCATTTTCTTTTCATATTCCTAATATTTTTAATATCAAAAGTAAATTAGGGCTAGGCTAGGCTAGGCTAGGCTAACCCACGTTAGCTTTAATAAAACAATTTATAATAAATAATAATAAAAAAGCACAAACAAAGACATAAAACATTAAAACAAAAAAAAGGTTTTGTCCTGCAGATGAAGAGCTCTGCTGAGTGGGTGTGTCCTGCGGCGTAGAGAGCGATGACATCACAGTGCGAGCTCTTACTTGGACAGACTGCAGGACACCGGCATCTCTGTGCTCCACTCGATCTTCCCGTTCTCACACTTCTGGTGACCGGAGATCGTCCCCGACGGTTTCTCTGTGATGATTTTATACCTGAGACAAACAAACATCCGTCAGTTGAACGTCCCTTTGTCTTCTTCTCCTCAGAAAACAAAGTTCACGTTCACGCCCTCACATGACTTCCTTGTTCCTGCGCGGCCCCTCGAACGGTCTGAACGGGAGGCTGCCGGTGGCGGCGTGGTAAAACGTGACGCCGATGCTCCACAGATCCACCGTGGCGCCGTATTTCTTCTGGTGGTCTTTCCTCAGCACGGCGCGCTCGTACATGTCTGGATGCTGCACAGGAAACACACGAAGAAGAAGATTTTATAAATATAAAATAAAGACAGAAAACTTCACAGGAAGTTGCTCACGGGTGTTTGGGTTGTTCTACAGGTGATTTGAAGTTTCAGTCTTTATCTGACTGATTTGATTCAGGTGAAACAATGAGCTCACACCTGTTAGACATGCAGCTCAGTGAGGCTGTAATTAGCAGAGCTCACTGGGGTTCGTCCTCTGAGGATCACGACAGTCTCAAGCACATTTCAGACTTTTAATAATCATGTAACTGTAAAATCTGAACTGAAGTATGTGTGTGTCCCACGGCCTCCACATCGCATTCACGAGATCGATTATTGATTGTTATTGATGACAGTCGGACGCGTCCTCACCAGATACTCCTCTGTCCCGTACAGAGACACGAACTGCTCGTCGTCCTCCAGCTCTCTGGCGGCTCCGAAGTCCGTCAGCTTGTAGACGGAGCAGCCGTCCTCTCCGATCACCCTCATGATGTTTCCTGGTTTAATGTCCCGGTGGACGATCCCGTACTCCCTCAGGTGGTTCATACCTGCCACTGGAGGAGCCAAGCAGCCAATCAGAGAGATGCACACAGAGCCTGTCTAAATCTAACTCTACAGCTCATCAGCGATGAGCCTCAGTGACGGTTCACACATGATCCTGATGAGGATGAAGAGCTCTGAGGTCATCCTCACCCACATCGTGAAGAACGATGAGGAACTCGTCCTCCGGGAGTCCGTAGGCGTTGGACGACTCCTCCAAGACGGTGTAGAGACTTCCACAGGGACAGTACTCCATCACCAGGACCTTATGACGGGTGTTGGACTGAGGAAGAGGAGGAGGAAGAGGAGGAGGTCAGACACACGTTTACACTCTAAACCCTCGTCATCATCAGACAGACACCGACCTCTTCCTCCACAGCGAAGAGTTTGACGATGTTCTTGTGGTTCAGTTTCTTCAGAACCTCGAACTCTCTCATCTGGACGTCGAGCGGCCGCAGAAAGCTCAGGTTGTTAAAGACTTTGACGGCGTACAGGTCTCCTGTTTTCTACACACACAGTAAAGTCATTCCGTTACATACGATTATATATATATATATATCATTATATATATATATGTATATATATATCATTATATATGTTACACATCAAACTATGGAGCTGCTACCAAAACTTTGTCTTTAACACGTTATTGGGAGGAATTGTGTTTATTTGTTTTATTACCCTCCCTAATGATTCCCTAGAAAAAAACTGACGTACATAAATAAACATAAATATATATATTTATATATATATTTATGTTTATGTCTTAAATGTTTTCAAAGCACTTTGAGCTGCAGCCTGTGTATGAAATGTGCTGTATAAATAAAGTTTATTATTATTATTATTATTATCTGTGTGTTCAATTAGTGCACATTCAGTTTAACTATAATGAACAAAATGCAAATGTGAGATTTGTCTTTCTGTATTAAATTACAGGTGAACATATAATTCAATAATAATATATAAGTATGATCATGAGTTCCTATTTCAGGTCTGAGAGTGAATGATCATGATGTGAAGATTTAAACTGAATCCTCAGTTTCTCTGAAATCTTCATGTCTTTGTCAAACTTTTAAAAGATGCAGAAACTAATGAAATAACCTGTAATTCTCACCACACCCATGTAAACCCCCCCGCCCTGCTCAGATCTGCTGCGTTGACCCGACAGACCCGAGGTGTCGACATTAAATGAGACATTAGATCTTAGATCAGGTTCAGACTGATCCTCTGACTTTAAAGGTTTTGGGGAAACTCCCGGTCGAACTGTCGCAGCCTGAAGGGCTGAAGGTCTGAGATCTGCTGGATCCACTACAAACACAAACTGATCTGAGAGGAGGAGGAGGAGGAGGAGGAGGACAAACTGAGACGCCACTGAAACCCGAGCTGAAACCGTGAGATGAGAAATGATTCATGCTGCAGCAGAATCTTTTTCTACAAATGTGAAGAGAATCTGTTTTTCATTCTGCCTCCTCCTCAGACTGTGACCCACAGATTCATTAAAAAATATATAGTGTGAATTTAACATTTTCTGTTTTTTCTTCATCAGCTTCTTTTTATCTGATCAATCAATCAATCAATCAGTTGATCGACAGATTCAGTCGTTTGTCAAGAAAAGATCTTAATAAAAGTTCAATATCTGCAGATTTCTGTCTCTGAGAAGAAAAGATCTGCTTCTTCTCTTTGTCATGAATCATTTTCCACTGATCAAACAAAACTAAACATTTATGACTTTATTTTATCAGATTTACTTTAATATAAAAAGAAACAGATGAATCAATAATGAAAATATTAACGAGCTGCAGGCCCAGTGCAACACTCATTAGTTCTGCAGGTATTTCACATGTGGACCTGCTGATGGCGCTGCAGGAGAAGATGAGAGGATGATGAGAGTGACCACACACGAAGCCACGCTGCTGACAACGAGCTGCAGTCATTCATCTAATTAATCCTCTAATATTATAACGAGCCTGAGAGGAACAAACTCACTGCAGCTGGAGACTTTCATAAACTCGTGGATCATTTCAGTTTGTTCAACTGTCTGTGGTGGTTCCACTTTCTACCAGACACAATCTGTGACGCTCCCATGATGCAACGGGTCTCCAACACACCGAATGGAAACACGGAGTGTGAGCTCGGAGCATTAAGTGTCGAACACAGGACACAGGTAGCGTGTTATTGTTCCTGGTAACCATGACAACTCTTGTTCACCCGGAAACAGCTGCAGCTGGTGCAGAGACAGAGATGAACTCTTCTGACCCTGTGTGGGTTGTTTTATATCCAGTTCATATTTATATATTTATATATTTATATATTGTGTAAAATACCAGATATTGTCTGGAAACTTTCTGTAAATAAAACAACTGGAGAGGAAAGTTTTTATTTCTAGTTTATGTTGCTTCATATAAAGATTTTCCATAAAACAATGCTGCCCAGTGATTGGCTCTGACCCCTGACCTCTGACCCCGCCGCGGCTCAGGTTCATACCTTGTGTCGACCTCTGTAAACGTTGGCCGTCGCCCCCTGACCCAGCAGGTCTGAGATGAGCCACAGGTAGTTGGTGGTGCTCTGCATCCTGACGGCTGCAAGTGATCCTGAGAACACAGAGACAGCTGATCAATACACCGGCAAATGATCGATACCATCATTACACCAGGCACTGATCAATACTATCAATACACCAGGACGCTAATTTAAATTATTTATTCTATTATTGTTCATTTATATTATTCTAGTTTTTTTGCTGAGTTGACCAAATTCTTGTCCAACACATTTCATTGAACCGTTGACCTTGTGTAACATGACGAATAAACTTGAACCTGATCGATACGATCAATAAACCAGGAGGGCTGATCTGAAGCTCACTCATTTTCTGGAGAATCAAAAGTTTCATCAAACATCTGGTCAGATCCATAAATAAATATCTTGACTGAAACTTTGATTGAAAATCTCCAGAAAATGGGATTTTTCTGAATCTTTAAGCATAATTTTATTTTATTTAGATTTATTTTTACGTTCTTTATTCAACACTGGTGCAAAAACATCCAGTTCAATCATTTAAATCATGTTCAGAGGAAGATCAAAACATATAAAAGTGTTCTTTAGGTACAGAACTTTATTGTTCAAGTTTCTCACTTGGCTGCATTTAAAACTTTACCAGTAATTTTACTAAATCTTTTGACTACCTTCAATCATTTCAATTGATTTTTTACATCATCATATTTCTGTGTTAATAAAATATTTCCACCAGATTCTTAAACAGCATTTCCAGCATTATTTACCTCCCTGCTAAAAGATCTTAGAACTCAGGTTATTAGCGTAACCAATGAAGTAAAATATTTTTAATTACTCTAATAATTCATTAATATAATTGATCTTTGATTATGAACCACAGTGTAGGTGTTATCTGGCTTCCCACCATTATCTCATGTTGTATCTGTTGACTGAAACTGTGGTGGAGGCCTGACACTGACGAGAGGAACCACCACAGCTTCAGTTCTGCCTTCAGGTGAGTCAGCAGGTATCACAGGGTCAAGAGACCTGAGGCACATTCTTATCATTTATGTTTTGATAATAACTTCATAGAAAAGTAATATTAGAAATGAAGAAAGGGCTTAGTTATAAATAAAGTTTATATTTCGGTGGGGTCAGTTGGTACGCAGTGACGTCACGGGGTGTCGGTGGGAAATTCCCGTTTCAGGCCTAAAACATCAAACTCACCGCGACGGGACAGAGACACAACACGTTCCAGTTAAAACAGACGGTTTTAACGGACCGGAACCTGCTGACGTTTCACACCAGAACCTCTGAGTAAATCCTCCACCGGGGCTTTAACACGGAGCCGTGCACCGGAGCCGTTAACGTTAGCTGATCAGTCCACACACACACGGTTCTGTCACCAGTTCGATCACAACCTGACTGTTGGATTAACGTTAAAAAAGCTGAGTGTTTTTTGAGCGGGACCTGATTCTTGTGTATTTTCACTTTCTGTCGTCAGACACAGAAACACGATCATTTAAACCCGCGTCGAGCTAACAAGCTAACCGTTCAGACCGCCCGGGAACACCGGGTCCGTTAGCTAACATGTCGAGCTGTGAGGCGGTAACGGAGAAAAAAACGTCTTTACCGTTTTTGTCGTTTAAAATTAATCATAGTTATATTTGTTTATTTCCTCACCCTTCTTTCTGCGGCCGATTCCTCCTCTTCCGCTGTTCCCTTGTCATGTGACAGACGCGGACCAATCAGCACGGGGAGATAAGGAAAGGGGCGTGGTTTGAAACTGAAGTTCTTTTACCGTAATACTCAGAGTAGAACAAGAAAGAGTGCGCAGTCATTGGACACAGTTGAGGAAAAATGAATCAGGACAGACTTTCAACCTTATTGTTCCGTTGTTTTAGCAGCAAATAATTAAACTGTTGATGAAACTTTATTTGTAAAGCTGCTAATGTTTTAAACAGTAGATAAAACTTTATTGATAAAGCTGAGAACAGCTGCGGTAAGAGGAGCTGATCACTATCTGTGTCAAAAAGAGTGCGCAGTCCTGGATCTGAGCCGTTATTACGGTAAAATCAAAAGGCAACGATTCGGAAAATTAAAACCGATACTTAGCATCTCTTATCTAACAAATATTTCGATACACACTACTAATATTATTATTACTTTAATTATACTAATAATACTAGTATTGATCATAATACTGACCGTACATCATAATGACGTTACATTACATTGAAACAAGACACCACTGTAGTTGTTTTATCTCTTTGTGGTTGTTTTTTTCCCGCTTCATGGTCATTTTGCTTGTCTTTGTCATTTTGCTTGTCTTTGGTTTCTTTGAGTCTTAAAATTATACTTAAATTATATGATAATACAACGTTTACACATAATTATTCCTGAAATACTCAAAACAGCTTCACTGTTCATACACAAGATGGCAGCACAGGCTACAAACAGGGTTGATAAGTAGTGGAACTGGTGTAGGGTGATTTTTAAATAATTAATATAACATACAGTATATCACACTGTATACAAACAGACAGACTATACTTCTTATTTTCTTTAAGTTTTATTTGAATTAACCAATTCTTACAAACACAACTAACAACTCTAAGTCAAATAACCATTTTTCTATATGGAGCAGGTCTTTGAAAGGAACATCCTGGGGAATTATCAGGAAGGTACAGACCTCTGAAGTTTAGTTTCCCCACATAAACGTCTAAATGTGGTTTCAAAATGTTCTCAACACTGTCAGGAAGAACGTTTGTTGTTTGTAGTTTTTTATTTTTTATCTTGCTTTATGTTTTCTTTGCTTTGTAAAGTGTCCTCAGGTGTCTTGTAAGGCACTTAAAAGTAACTTGTATTATAATTATTTGTATTAAAGCCTTGGAATAAAGAATTAGACATTACATAAGTTGAGAAATGTCAATATATAATGGTGGCTTATTTATCTTTATTATAGATACTGTTAAAACCTGGAAAATCATGTTAAACTATTTCATTTATCAGATCTGTAGCTGGACAATTACTGAAAAATAATTATCAACTTTCAGTCAAATCCAAACAATCGATTCAATTGTCAAAACTTTTCATAGAACATGAGAATTTGACCTGTAGTTTTGTGTGTAATGTTCAACAGTGGCACACAGTTCACTGCAGTTAACATTAATTAGATTATTTCATGTGGTTTTGTATTTACTTGTTCTACAGCAATATATAAATAGTATCAATAAAAATACTCAGATCAATGTTTGGATATAATTTACCTTCCTACCAGCAGCTCTGACTCCTCCATCCACAAAACATCAATCATCACACCGACACGGAGGTAAAAGTTCACTCACTTTATATTTAACAAAAAGAAAAAAAATCAGCATTTCATCAGTTACAACAGCTTATGGTGGCAGCTGGATGGGCTGTACAGGTCCATCGGATACTCTGGTTTACAGGTAAAGCAGTCATCGTATAAAAACGTAGAGTTAGTGGAAATTAAATGAACATGACGAACCAAATGTTGGTCATCTCCACAAACGTCCTCGCAAAGCACCATGGGATCAAAACGGATGAAGGACATTTAAAAAAAAAAAAAAAAAACGACACAAACTTCTGTGATTCCTGTTTGAACCTCCGAGAAAAACCTGGAGACAAAAGTGCTTTTTTAAAAAAAAAAAAAAAGAAAAAAAGAAAATGACTCAGCCTTTTTCAATCTTTTTACATTTCTACTTTCTTTGACCTTTTTCACCCATGTTCCTCACAACCTGTACAAAAAGTCCAAGCTCAGACCGTCGACTCTAACGACACGGAGGCGTTTGATTCGTCTCGGTTCTGTCTGATGACGTCTGTGTTTTTATTTGTACCTTCAAACCAAACGAAGCTTTGACAGAGTCTGGAGGGACGAGATTCTGGTAAATGAATCCAGTAAATGAACAGAGCATTGACGGAGCAGAAGCATTGAAATTTTAAGATTTTTAGTTGTAAAAGTTAGAATTAAATTTCTGTTGAGATCATGATCTTGTTGATTTTTGATGGTCAGATAGTTTCAGATTTCAATCAAAATGTCTGTTTTATCTACACAAACGTCTTATATTTAATATTTTGCGTCTAGTGGAAAAAAAGTTTTGGTATTTACCAAAACTGTTATTGTATCAGGATTAATAACCAAACATTTAAAAATTTTAAATGATACCCAGCTCTTCACATCAGTAACGTTACTGCTCTTAATTTAACATCATTTACACCATCATAGCTTTTAATTTCAATAAGATGATTTCTGGATTCCATCAAGTTCTTATTTTGGATCCTTCAAATATTAAAATCAGTATGTAAAACTCAAATTACTTAATTTTATCACCATGTTTTAACATTTCAGATTCAGAGTAACAGCTGTTACCTGTAAATTCACAGAAAAAAAACTTTTCCAGTTCACGCACAAAATATAAAGAGTAAATTATTAACTTGAGGGAAAAATTAGTTAATTTGAGGCTTGATGCTTTTAAACTGAAGGAACAACAAAAACAAAAACCCGTCACCATCCAGACTCTGAAAAACCTGATGTTACCATGTTTCACCACGTCGGCCATCTTTTTTTTGGACTCTTCTAAAACACACAAACCAAACGTCCACCTTAACACAACAGTTCACTCCAGCTGCTCGACAACGACGACGTTTTGTACCAGAAATCAGTTAAAAAAATAAAAGTCCTGTAAAGTGCAGTTAGCGAATGAGAACCTCTCCCAAAAAAAACAAACAAAAACAAAAAAAACCAAAAACGGTTTAATCTGATGTGTGTGTGTGTGTGTGTGTGTGTGTGTGTGCGCGCGCAGTCGGCCTTTGACACACCTGGGTGTGTCGGTCAGTGATTGTACCACAGGTAGCTCTCAGCTGGTGGACAGGTGTGGGCAGATGTGGAGGACGTACGGAGGCAGCAGAGAGACAAAAATATACGTTCATGACTTTTGGCATCGTCACTGGTTTGTAGTGGTTTGAGTTTCTGACGTTTTACATTTTTTGATTTTCTGCACAATCTGAGCGAGCCTCAAAATATCACTGCACTGTAGAAAATTGAATTTTAAATCCCTAAAATCTGATTCTCTTTAACAAATCCAGAAAGATAATTTAAAATCTTCTTTACATAAAATAAAGACAATGACTGACGGGTCCAAGACAATAAACTGTGAACAGAAATTAACATCTTGTGCTCAAATAATTATATTTTGTGTAATTATCTTGTGTGAATAAGATTATTAAAATCTCACACTTCAGCACTTTAAGGACTCCGTACATTTGTTTGTCAATATTGACGATTGTTTCTGGAGAAACAGGAAGTCGAATCATCTCAACCAGATGCTGCAGTTTTTCAACATTTCAAAACAGTCAGTGAATAATTTGAACTCAAACTAAATGAGTTATTTTGTCGTTGACTCCTGTTGAACAGCTGAACATCAAACACTGAATGAACATTTAATTTGGTCAAATTGATTTTAGATTGTTTTCTATTTAATTTAATTGCTGAATATTTGTTTTCAGACATTTAACATTTGACAAATTTGTAGAAAACGTGCAAAAATTTTCCAATTACATGTGAAAAGTTGAGATGACACTGAGCTCCTGGTGTCGCCTTCTGTTTTGGCGTTTTGTAAATATTACACTGTCAAACATCAGAGTATGAAATTCAAATTTTCTTAAAGGGGCAATGTTTCTTTAAATATCTAAAAATTCCTCCACAGACTGAGACGATGGTTTCTGTGATTTCAATGTGAGAAATAAAAGGAAAGAAGCTCTTAGTGAGATCGGGACTCTGAACATGGAGATATGTCGGAGACGTGTTTGCTTGTAAAGCGTTAGATTGTCTTCAGATTCATGCTGGTGTCGTATTTTCTCTTTGACCTCAGGGCGGGAAACACGGCGACGCTCCTGCGACGATCAGAACGAGTCGTCTGGTCGTCACGAGAAAGAAACAAAAGACAAAAACAGATCCATAAAAAACAAAAACAAAAACAAGATTGTTGACACGAGCGTCGTCAAGGCAACAGAGTCGACGCCGCCTCAGGCTCCACCTCTGGTCCCAGCTTCAGCTTCAGGGTTTTCTGCCGCCACACGGTTAGAAAAGATGATTTTGGCACAAACAGTCCTTCAAACATCAGGATGACTCGACACGAACAGACACTGAAACCTGGATATGTTCTTCGATTTGACTGATCTGAGATTGTCGCCGTACGTTTGGACTGATATTCTGTAGAAAAATATAATGAGGCAATATAAAAAAAGACGGAATGAAAAGTACTGCAAGAATTCAATGGATAGATTTACAATGATTTTTCTATATAGCTTATAAATACGTTATCTACACAATATGTGGTACAAAAATACTATAGAGCATTTAGTGGGCACTGGATTTCCTTTGTGTTTTTTTTCCTCGAAGTAACAACAACAACAACATAAAAATAAAAAAAAAAAAGATATGAAGATGTGTAACTGGTCAGGCACAAGGTCGAGTTCTTGGTGGGAAACGCTGCTTCCTCCACGTGTGAAGAGACGGGGATTAAAGAGCAGAAGAAGAAGTAACATGAGGAGGAGGAGGAGGAAGATGATGCTCCCTGCTGTGCAGCTTTGGGTCGTCTCCGTCGCAGTCGTTTTGGTTTAAATCCTGTCTGAGCTTCATGGTGATGAAGACGATGTCTGGATGTGAGTCGTGCTGCAGCGACCGGATCTCGAACGTTTAGTGGAAACTTGTTTTAGTGTTTGTACGGAGGCCCACAGGGGACAAAAGGAGGTCTGGGTCGCTTCTCGCAGACGCCTGTTGGCTTGGTGTTTTCACACGTCATGTGCTCTTGTCCTCTCTGGGCCTCCGTAACGTTCAGTCCTGGTCTGATCGGCTGATAAATATGTGCCTCAGTGTTATTGCTTCAGCTCAGACCTGGTCCTGGTCTTCAGGACTCACATCCAATCAGACACGATCCTGATCCTCTGATGACGAGGTCGTCAAATCAGATCAAAGACCCAGAACCGCGTCCTCAGCCGGCCCCTCCCTCCTCGATCCAGTTCACATGGTAACTACAGACAAGATGGCTGCCGGGCGGCGCAGGCGGAGCTCTTCCTGTAGCTGTGGATGTTTTTCATATTTGGCATCAGATAAGTTAAAACGTTTCACCGTGTGCTTCGTGTCCTTCAGCCTCTTTTCTCCTGCTTTAAGGCAACTTATATTTGTGATGATTTTAATAAAACCTTTTCTTAAAAAATGTACAAATTTCTTAATACAAACCTCCATCATCAGTAAACACTGTATAGAAAATATATAAATATGCTTTTCTCTTTTTCAATGTACAAATGTTCTGCAGCTCCGTTTCTCTTTGTCTCCTTTTTGTCTCCTCCGCTCGCGTCAGTCTCTCTTTCCCATTTTTAACCTCATATATGCACAATTGCTATTTACAGTGAGGGGGCGGAGCTGTGTTGAGGGGGGCGGGGCGTTTGGCTCACGAGGAGTCCGTGCAGGGCGACGGCGGCGGCGGGTAGAGGTGGTGGGAGTAGCTGCGCTCGGTGTAAGGCGACGGTGGGCAGCTCTCACAGTTCTCCTCCGCCGACAGGTACTGGCTGCGGGGCGTCGGCGGCGGCGGGAAAGGCTCCGAGTCGTAGTTGAGGTCGCTGGTGTAGCCCTTGGCGGCGGCGGCGGCAGAGGCAGCGGTGCTGGACTTGAGCGGCGCCCGGCGTCCAGGTGTGTAGTCGCTGTCGCACACATCAGTGCTGCAGGGGGTGGTGGGCGGGGCAAAGTGGCGGTAGGTGTAGGGCCGGTAACTAAGAGACGGAAACAACAACAATTAACAAACTGACACTGGATCAGCTGCTACAACAACTTCATTATTCTGAGTAAACAGCTGTGGGCGGGGCCAGCAGAAAACACCTGTTGTAGACACGCCCACCAAAACAATCCAACTTCTGTTTAAATGAAGCTTCATGTAGAATATTTTCATCTTCATCTTCCCGCCAAAACAAAGTGAATTTATCTCTTCCTGATTCCCTCAGCTGACCTGCGGCTGCGGCGTGATACAGTGCGCTCTGCAGGAGTGAAAGGAGTGGAAAGGGTTGTTTTGGCGGGAAGATAAAGACTGAAAATCTTCTACATGGAGCTTTGTTCAACAGATGTTGGATTGTGTCTGTGTGCGTCTTTTAAAAGTGTCTAAAACAGGTGTTTTGTTCTGGCCCCGCCCACAGCAGCTCATCACTCTGCTGGTGTACCTGTGCTCCTGCTGCTCTAACCTGACTCTACTGACTGAACACGGCGACCTCACACAACCCCACGGCTAACAACCCGGACTGTCCCTGTAGACTTTAAATAAATATGGAGTTTTAACGTTGAACAAACTGAACTTTAATCTGAATAAAGGAAAAGTTCCACATTTTGGGAAACACAAACTTTCTTGACGGAGACAGAAGAGTGAGATCAGTCTGGACGGCTACACCTCCACCTGTGGGTGACGTCACAGAGGCTACGTCCATCTGTATTTAGTCTGTGGTTTCATTACGTAAAGGAAGATGTTCAGACTGATTCCACTCCAGCCAGCAGCCAGTTAGCTTAGCTTAGCATAAAGTCTGGAGTCACAGCTGTGTGGTTAACCCCCATCCAGCTGTTCTAAAGTTCACTGATAAACATGTTATATCTCTTCTGTTAGACGTGAAGAGATAAAAAATCAAACATGTCTTCATCTGTTTCAGTGTCTGACTTGTTTTTCTGTCTCTGTGGAAACTGTTTCCACCCAGAGCCGAGAGCTTGTTTCAGTGTCATAAAGTGAATTAAAAACATGAAACCAGAGTCATGAGCAGCAAAGTTAAAGAGAGAAAACACTTCAGGAACTAAACGTCCCGTTTTAAAACACGGCGGCGCTTCAGAGTCGTGTTGGTGTTAATTCACTGTTTGACTGGTCAGTCGTGTTCAGAGCAGCAACTGCATTTAGTCTCTTTAGTGGAAACACAAGTGAAGGCTCTGGACTTCCTGGAAGAGTTCCTTTAGCCCCGCCTCTTCCCACAGGAATCTAAACACACTTTCACTTTCCGACATAAACGACCTCGGCTGCGAGCCGAAGCCGACATCAGACTCAGTCAGAGTGTTTCAGGTTTCAACACGAACAGAGAGAAGAAAACACTCGGGGGGATTGTTGTAAACGTTCACATGTGCTGCAGGAATTCATCCAAGACCCAGATCCTGCAGCCGGATCACATTTCCAGAGCAGATCCAGGACTCTGGTCCTGAACGCACAGAGGAGGAGCGGTGGTTACCTGTAGGACCTGTGTGTGGAGGGACTGTTGGACGAGTAACCGAACTCCATGGTGTACTGAGAGCGAACGGTGGCCGGAGACGGAGGAGGATTCAGGATCTGAAACAAAGGAAATGTTGATGTCAAGATATAAATCTGTAACGAGGAGACAAGAAATCACAGGACGAGGAAACTGAACCGTTTCATATGAGACGGACTGACACAGAAAACTGATGTTATACAGGCAGAAAGGAAAACGTATATACATATATATATATTTACACTGTGTATTATAAAGTTATTTCCTTTTTGTTGTTATTTTTCTGAGAAATAAAGGATCAAAGTTCATCAGATGAACTCGTGTTTTGATCATGTGATGCTGTCAGTTGTTTTTGCTGTTGTTATTGTGTCTTTACATCACCGTCACTGTGTCAGCGTTGTGTTTTCAGTCTCGGACTCTCAGATCTGCAGTGTGTGGTGGTTTTATGAAAACAGCCACAAACATCAGCTTCATGCTCCGTGTAGGAAATATGTCAAACTGCATCATTTCCATTAAATGAATCAATACATTTAAAAATGAACTAGACAGACTCCGCTGTGTGTGGAGAATTCAGGATTAAAACATGAACAACGAGCCTGATAATTAACGTGTTTGATTGATCGATAATATAATAATTATGAAAACTGAGACAAAGTTTAAACTCAGTTTCTGATTCACTGAAAGAACAAATGAAATATTTATTATGATTCATCCATTAATGGAAACTCCTCTTTTATTTTGAAATGTTTCCCTGAGGAAGACAGTGGCGCTGATGACGAGGAGGTGTGACATCATCACGGTCTGGACCCTCAGCAGCTAATCAGTGTGAAGCACTTCCTGTGTGTCTCACCGGGGGGAAGTAGGTTCCCTTGGTGCTGGACGAGCTGCTGGACGACGCTCCGGTGACGTGGGCTCGGTCGTACGGAGGTCCGCTGCTCCCACCCATGATGCTGAGCGAGCCAATCACGGACTTCCCTCTGGACATACCTGCACAGGTGTGAAAACAGACGTTAGCGTGGTGTTCATCTGAAGAAGAAGAGACGCGACGGGGTGCGTTTGTTTCGTGCGTCTGACCGGGCAGCGAGCTGGACAGCGAGCTCGGGTGCGGCACGTATCCCAGCGGCACCGACGACGGCCCGTGAACCACGAAGTCGTTGGTGACCGTCTCGCCGTCGTCCTTCATCTGCGGACAGAGGACGCGCTGACACACGAAGTACACGGCGCCCACAACAAACAGCGCCATGACCACGCCCACGATGGAGCTGATGGTGTTGTTGGGTGGAGGAGGCGGCTCCTCGGTCGCGTCTGACACCACAGAAGAAGAAGAAGAAGAGACGTTAAAACACAAACAACCCGTGGGACACATCTGGACGTGCAGATGTGGGCGTGTTCGGACTCACAGCAGCCGTTCTCGTCGGAGCTGTCCGTACAGTCCACGTTGTTGTCGCACTTCTTGTGTTTCCCGATGCACTGTCCGTTAGAGCAGGTGAACTGGTCCAGAGGACACCGCACTGCAACACACACACACACACACACAGCGTCAGCACATCTGGCTCCCACATCACCTCTGACCCTCCAGATGTGGGACAGGTGAGGGTGTTACCTGTCACACCTTCACACTTGTTCTCGTCGGAGCGGTCCTGACAGTTGAACTCTCCGTTGCAGCGGAGGCTCAGGTCGATGCACTGGCGGCTGTCGCACTGGAACTCGGACTCGGAGCAGACGGGACAGTCCTCCTCGTCGCTCTTGTCGTCGCACTCGGCGTAACCGTCGCAGCGCCACGCCTGAGGGATGCAGTCCACCTCGCCGGACGTGCAGGAGAACTGCTCCGGGGAGCAGGTGGGGGGCTCTGAGGACGACACACACACGCAGAGGGAGACTGTGAGCTTCAGCCCTGTGAAAGCTGAGTAAGGGGACCTTGAGTCGAGGTCTCTCACCTCCACAGGAGAGCTCGTCCTGCAGCAGCACCAGGTGGACGGGACACGAGCAGCGAGTCGTCCCGTCGCCCTTCACGATGCAGATGTGTGAGCAGCCGCCGTTGTCCCAGGTACACGGGTGTTTACCTGGACAACAAGGTCACAGAAGGTCAGGTGAGTCCGTTTAGGTCGACAGGAAATCATCCTGCTCCATGTACGAAGGCGTTGGCGATACGGAGGCTAAACAATGTGCCAATACTTCAAAAAGATCAATTTGATTTACAACCTTTATTATAAATATTCTTTGACTTATTTTATTTATTTCTGTTTTGCAAACGACCCACCGGTCGGAACCACTGGTCTCATTCTGCAACAACCAAAGGAGACGGATCCTCACAACATATTGATCGGATGTAAAGATCCCAGACATGTATTGATTTAACTTCCTCACACTGACACCAGGTTCTAAGTCCCAGCATTAGTCTGCAGTAAAAGAATGAAAGTATTCCCCAGTGGATGTGTGGTGAGTTCAGGGGCAGTGTCTCTGTGGTGACTCACTGTACTCCCTCATGTCCAGCTCGTGGACGGCGTGGATGTCGCTCAGGTAGGCGATGCGCGCCTGGATCTTGGTGCGTCCCTCTCGCGTCGTCTTGTCGATGCGCTCGATCATCTGCTGCTGCTTGTCGATCCAGTACAGGTGGTTCCCGAACACCGTCAGCCCGACCGGCTGCAGGATGTTGGAGTCGGCGATCACGATCCGATTGGCTCCTGGATTTTCAAAATAAAACCACCGGGGAAAAAAACAAAACAAAAACAAGGTTGTAGGGCAAAAAACTTCAGGAAACGAGGCAACAAAAGGGGTGAGAAACTGAGGGTGAGGCAGGAGGGGAGGCAGGAGGAGTGGACAGTGACACACCGAGGTCAGCTACAGAATAACAACCATTAATAAATAAAAATTAATATATAAATCAATAAAACCTTCAGACACATCTGGAGATACAGATGCTGATTCTCAGGTCAGGAGGAGCAGCTGAAAGCTCAGGGAGGAGTAAGTGAGTTTACTCAAAGGTCCAGACGAGACCTTCAAGCTGTTACTGTGGTTCCGTTAAAGAACATGTTCAAATAAATATTAGTGCAACATGGAAACAGTTCATAGTAATATTTAATTATTTACTTTGAATTTACTTTGTTCGTTATTAAAACTCCATTATTTGTTCCTGTGATCACGTGTTCATGTGATCACGTGTTCATGTGATCATGTGATCACGTGTTCATGTGATCACGTGTTCATGTGACTGTGATCACGTGTTCACGTGATCATGTGATCATGTGATCATGTGATCACGTGTTCACAGCCTCCAGTTTAAATACGATACAGAGTCACGTTAATGTTTTTATTATTGCAGTTAAAATCTAGTTTCTTACATTAGTGAACTGAGACACATGAACTCAGAGATTTATCAGCTTCTACATGAACGAACTCCAACTGATGATTTCAGTGGTTCAACTGTGACACCAGCAGGTTTCTGGTCCTGGTCCTGGTCCTGGTCTGGACTGGACTGGACTGGACTTAGATCTACTGTCATTACTTCCTGTTCCTGTTGTTGATGTAACCGTCCTGGCGGAGAATCACAGGAATGTGCTGAGCTCCAGGCTCGAGGTCAACGACCTTTACATCAGGTTATTGGTTTATTTACAAAGAACCAGAGACCAGAACAGCTGACTCTGCATCAGCCAATCACATCTCAGTCTGATGAGGGAGGACGCTGTGTGAACCTACCAGACCACTGAGCGTATGGATGGTATTGATCATATTGATGGTATTGATCATATTGATGGTATTGATTGTATTGATCATATTGATTGTATTGATGGAATTGATCTAATTGGTTGTATTGATCATATTGATCATATTGATCATATTGATGGTATTGATTGTATTGATCATATTGATTGTATTGATGGTATTGATCTAATTGATTGTATTGATCATATTGATCATATTGATCATATTGATGGTATTGATTGTATTGATGGTATTAATTGTATTGACGGTATTGATTGTATTGATGATATTGATGGTATTGATCATATTGATGGTATTGATTGTATTGATCATATTGATTGTATTGATGGTATTGATCTAATTGATTGTATTGATCATATTGATGGTATTGATTGTATTGATGATATTGATGGTATTGATTGTATTGATGGTACTGATTGTATTGATCATATTGATGATATTGATTGTATTGATGGTATTGATCATATTGATTGTATTGATGGTATTGATCTAATTGATTGTATTGATGATATTGATGGTATTGATTGTATTGACGGTCTCCAGCCCCTGCAGGTCCCTGATGTAACCCCGTACGGACAGCGAGGTGACTCACCGGAGAGGTCGCTGCTCTCGATGCGGCGCAGGTCTGAGTCGACCCAGAACAACTTCCCCACCTCGTTGTCGATGGCCAGAGCGACGGGTTTCCCCAGACCGCTGAAGAACAGAACCTCGCGCTCTGTCCCGTCCAGTGCCGCCCGCTCGATCTTCGGGGAGCGCTCCAGCAGGTTGGTGAAGTACATGTACCTGCAGGAGACGAGGAGGTTCAGTTAGACCCACAAGTTCAAACCGCTTCAGAGGATCTGAGTCTCGCTGGATGTTTGTCTCTGGCTCCGGAGGAACCAGAACATCTGCAGAATTCATTTGTCAACCACACAACGACCCAGAGATCGCCGCACGAACCCCGGCCCGAAGGAAACCCTGCAATTACAGCTCCAAACAAGTGAGTCGGCACCGCCGAGCCACGCCGGGCTTCAAGAACCTCACGGAGAACAAACGAGAGAACAAATGACGGAGCGATCGGGAACCAGAACGCTGCAGGACCGTGAGGGACACGGTTCACACAGGAACATCTGACGCTCTTTAAAGCTCCTGCGGCTCATTTAAGATCCGACTGAAGAACAAAGAGTCATTCAGGTGATGGCGTCTTTCCACGTCCTGGAACAGCCAGGTAGCTGTGAGCCAATCAGAGCTTTCCTCTCACCCCCCCCACATGTAAATAACCAGAGTCACCGCCTCTGCCACTCAGATACATCCCTGTCAGAAAATATTAACCGTTTGTGTTAAGTCTTGAAATTATGGCTTTGTGAGGTCACACTGACCTTGACCTTTGACCTTTGACCCCCAAAATCTAATCACTTCGTCCTTGACTCCTAATGAATGTTTGTGCCGAATCTGAATTAGTTCCTTCATGGCGTTAGTGAGACATCGCGTCCACGAGAATCAGACGGACAGACAACCTGAAAACAACATGGCTGCCGCTCTGACAGCCGCTGGCGTGGAGACATGATGAATAAAACAGGAAGTGTGCGCGCTCTGACTCGGCTGCGGACACTCACCCTCTCTCTGGGTTGACGACGATGGCCCGGGGCTTGTCGTGCTCCCCCCGCAGCACCACACCCACCCTGCTGCCGTCCGTGCGGGTGACGTTGATGACGTTGGTGACCTCGCTGGTCCAGTAGATGAAGCGGCTGTAGATGTCGATGCTCAGGTCGTACAGCTGCAGGCCCTGGCTGGCTCCGCCCACAGAGCTCGACACCACAGTCATACTCTGAGTCAGAGACAGACACAGACACAGGTCAGGGGGGGGGGGGCAGTGTGAGTGTCATGCGTAACAGAGATCAGACGCTCACCTGGTTCCCGTCCTCCTGCGCTCGCCGGATCACGTTCTGCTTGGAGTCGATCCAGTACAGCTGTTTGTCCAGAGGGTCGTAGTCGATGGCGCGGACGTTCCTCAGGCTGTGGATGGGCAGGATGATGTCGGGACTCTGCTGCTCGTCGATCACCATCCGGTTGATGGCGGTTTTCTGACTGAACAGCAGGAAGGAGGTGGGAGCTGAGAGACAGAGGAGGAGAGACGCCGTCGTTACATCACCAGAGGAAATAAACATGTTCAGGTCGTCCCGACAGACAAACAGACAAACACTCAGGTTCATGTCAGTAAACGTCTCGTCTGTGATTAAATCTGAAAAAATCACAACAGAAGTTTTGTCGAGGTCTGTCTCTCTCCACCTGAACAACAGGATGATGATTGTGTTCTGACTCAAAGGTCATAAAACTTACTGGGAGATTTCGGCCTCTGAGAAGCAGCGTGAACACAGGAGGAAGAGAAACACGACAGAAGTGGAAGCACGAAAACATCTGGAGTACTAAAAATATAAAAGTATATTTAACTAAAACTCTTCTGAGCGACTGGAGCAGCGACGATCTGACAGTTAACTGAGGAATCAGTTTTATCTGCTTCAACAGCTGAGAGAACCGTGGAGAACATCTGTTTACACCTTCTCAACATCTGGATAGAATCAGATCTTAACTATGTCCATCAGGTCAATGCCGTCTGTCTGAGACCTTCTGGTTTATGAACTGCAGGTTAAACCGTGGCGTAACGCCGTCTCACCGCTGCACGTCTTGTTGTCGAAGTTGAGGGAGAAGTGGGCGGGGCAGCCGCAGACGAAGCTGCTGACGGGCACGGCGAGGCAGAGGTGGGAGCAGTGTCCGTTGGTGGAGGCGCAGGCGTTCCAGCCGCCCTGTCTGGACGAGTGAAACACCAGGATGTCCATGACGTAGTCCAGGTGGCCCTGGATGACGGTGCGGTTCTGACCACTGGTCTTGTTGGCGCGCTCGATGCTGCGCTGGCTCCAGTCGGTCCAGTAGATGTAGTCCTGGTACTGGGTGAGGCCGAACGGGTGAGGGAGGTCGTCGGCTATGACCTCACGCTCCTGACCTGAAGGAGGGAAACAGACGGAGGAAGAAGAGGAGGAGTTAATCACGTTGACAAATATTCACTGGAAACTTCATTCCAACAATTAACAAAAGAATTAATTAAACATTCATTAAAGCTCCTCCAGTGTAAAGGTCTGTGTCCATGTGTAGTGTGATTATAGATCAGCTCTAGCTTCTATATTAATACTGTGAAAGTATCAAAGCCTCAGTCCACAGAGAAATGCACACAGCCTGTATTCAGAAACTGAGCCTTAAAACCAGCCGTCAGGACTTCTGGAACTTTGTGATGTCACAACAAAGCAGTCACCAAGCCCCGCCCACCTGGACCCACCATCCAAACAATTTTGAAATTATTATTATTATTGGCCCGTGAGTTAAACACACCAGGTTTGGGGCTTGTCTCCACATTAGAGGGATCACTGCAGTGAGCTCATGAACTATTTCATCAGCAGATCGTTTCAGAAAAGTTTCACACTTTTCAAAACTTTTTAAAAATGTTAAGATCATGTGACGATGCAGCAGAGCTGCTTGGTTCAGCCTTTTCCTAACTGGAAACACACAAAGAAAGTGAGAAACACGAGACCTACATCTCTCAACTTCTCCTCTTTTCTACTAAAATCTACAAATGAAAAGAGCGAACCGGATCAGAGCCAGGTGTCAAACTTTACGCTGCCATAGAGAAGAAGCTGAGAAAATAATAAAGGCCTCTGGTGCAGCACACATCTGCCCAGAGAGGCTATTTTCTGTCCTCGCCGCCCCGCGCCAACACTGAGGCTATTTTCCTGCACACAAAATTGGTAGTGTTGTAAGAGCAGTGTGAGCGTGTGCAGAGCCCGGAGTCTAATAGCAGTCTGGTTTGAGGAGTTTTGTGTGAGGAATTATTTTGGTCCTGGTCTTCGTCCACCCACGTGCTGAGAGGGAACACTTCAGGACACAGCGACACAGCACAGCAGCTTTTGTTTCAGCTGCACTTTGAAGTTTCCTCCCATAAATATAGGAACAGAGCGAGCGGCTAATGCAGAACATGAATCTGCTCCGTCATCCGAGAGCAGCGCTCATCATGTACGTGACCACATGGCTCGCAGCGGTTATATAACGCAGAGAAGAAGAGCGGCCACTGAGACAAACATCTCTGAACTCAGAAAACTCTGATTTCAGGCTGATTAGGAGGAAAGGCTCCACCCACACCACCACGTTACTATTATCCATCGCATCGCAGCTTCGTCTCATCCACATGAAGTTCTTGAAGACGTGATTTGATGTGGCGGTTTGGAAAGATGGAGTAGAGAGGGAAGCGAGGGGAAGAGAGAGGTCAGAGGAAACGACACAAACTGTCTGAAGTTTGAATCATGTCGAGCTGAAAAACAACAACAACAACAACAACGTCAGTGTTTCAGCATCTCAGCAGAGAGCGTCCAGTCTATACGTCACAGAGCAGACTCGACATGAGGAGACGGTTGGTTAACCAGCTAGTTAATGTAACTGGTTAAGAACCTGACGTTTCATTAATGTGCAGGATGAAGAGAAGAGGACAGATAACATCAGATACAATTTAAACAATTAAAAGGTTAAATTTTCTTAAAAGGGAAACAATTAGTTTCCCTTTGTTTTATATTTATATTTTTATATTTCATGATTCATCGATGGAATAATCGGTAGAATACTGCGTTACTAAAACAATCGACAGCTGCAGCGCTGATCTTATTATTATTATCATTATCATTATCATTATTTATCCATTTGAAGCTTCAGCTCTTTAAGTCTCGTCAGTGGACCGCAGCAGCATCATTAACACCTCGGTGACTTACAGTCACATCCAGCTGGTGAATTCATCAGAAATGAAAAGAGATCTAAAGTTCTCCTTTTCCTCCCTGTACTGAAAACATCCCGTGTGTGAACTGAAGCGTGATGTCATCATTACTGGACATTAACAGCCGAGACACAGACAGGACGCACAGGAGAGAATCAGCTGTTTGTCCACAACTGAACCAGGTGTGGCATCCTCGACCACCTGACCCACGTCCAGCCAATCGCAGCAGGCGATATCAAAAACACCTGTGCAATCAGTCGGGGACTCAAACCAATCACAGGCCTGTGTCCATGTTGTTGTGATTGAACAGATCAAATGTTTCCAGATTCTCGTGTGAAGGCGGCACGTGTTATTTCGACCTGTTGCCAAGGCGACGGCAATGTAAACACCTCACACAGTCATGGAGCAGGAATGCGGGCTCGCCTGCGTGAGATCGACCGGTGACGTGTTGAGCCCGGTTCAACTGGTTTTGAGTGTCGCTGGACCGGTTCCATTCAGACCAGTGACAGAGGAGCCGACGTCGGCCTGAACGTGGCCCAACGACGGCAGCAGGACCAGAGCCATAAAGACTACACACACGTAAAGACACAGGTGGACGGGTAACATCCGGGTAACCGGGTAACTAGTCACATGGTTAAAACGGGGCTGAGCGTCACGGCGGTTCAGTGGCTGAGATGTGAAACTTCCAGAGTTCGAATCCAGACACAGACATGAACTGATTCTTCCACAGTTACTGATACTGACTGTTAATTAAAGACAAGTGGCTCAAAAGGACTTAAAATATAAAGAAGCAGAAATCGTTTCATGTTTTCATTCTGTCAAAGAGAAATCAGCTTCACATGAATGATTCGAAATGTTTTACAACAACATTCATTCAAAAGTTCCACATTTTAAAACAGACTAAATAAAGAGTTTGGATTTTGTTATTTTTATATTTAGTTTGTTGCTTTTCGTAAATGATTTGTTTAATAGAAACAGTTCAAGTTAACCGGGTTAATGTCAGATAAGTGGATCCTTTAATTCAAACATCCACCTGGAGAAGAAGCTGGAGACGATCCCATTATTGATTACTGATTGATAATTACCGAGCATGTTGGAGGACTCGATCAGCGTGGTGTCCAGGTCGGTCCAGTACAGGCGCCGCTCTGCGTAGTCGATGGTGAGTCCGTTGGCCCGGCCCACGTCGGCCACCAGCGTGATGCGCCCCGTCCCGTCCATCGCCGCCCGGTCGATCTTCGGCTTCCCGCCCCACTCGGTCCAGTACATGTACCTGAGGAGAACAGGTGAACGCAGGTCAGGTCTTTGATCCACCGTCGCCGTAGTTACGCAGGTGATCAGTGTCTCACCCTTCAGCAGGATCCAGAGCCAGAGCTCGAGGACTGTCCAGGTCCTTCCAGACCAGGACCTGCCGGTGCTGCCCGTCCAGTTTGGCCACTTCGATGCGGTTGGTGCCGGTGTCGGCCCAGTACAGGTTCTTCCCCAGCCAGTCCACCGCCATCCCCTCAGGGTAGTCCAGACCGAACTCCACCACGTGCTCCAGAGCGCTGCCGTTCATGAAGGCCCGGCTGATGGTCTGTGTGTGTGTGTGTGTGTGTGTGTGTGTGTGTGTGGGGCAACAAAAGTTAAAGGTCAGATTAAAGGTCAGGAACAATAAGAAACTGAAGGCTGGAAAGGAGGAGGAGGAGAAGAAGAGCTGACCAGCTCCTCCCTCCCTCACCTTCAGAGTGATGTCGGTCCAGTAGATGCGGTTGTCTGTGACGTCGAAGTCGAGCGCCGACGCCTCCTTGACGCCGGTGAGCGGGATGGCCACGTTGTTGTTGTTGGTCTCCAGGGAGATGCGGCGGATGTCGGTGTGGCGGGAGAAGAGCAGGAAGGCCTCGGGGACGATGCAGGTCCTCATGTCGGCGATGAGCTCCAGGCCGATGGGACAGCCGCACTGGACGCCCTGAGGCTTGTAGAGGCAGAGGTGACTGCAGCCGCCGTTACTGTCCGCACACGGGTTCGTACCTGAGGACGGACAAAAGACAACACACACACTTTCAGCTCACGTGAAATACCTGAACATTTATTTTTACGAGTCAATGATTCTTCAAAATAAAACGTATTATTAATCTGTGAAATCTACAACAAAACCTCAGGAGGAGCCGAGACCCTGCTTCAACAGTTTGATCCTGTTTTCAGAGAGAAAAATAAAATCAAGGTTGAACTGAATGTTTCTGTAGAAAACAGACTCATCGACAGGAAACAGGAAACAGGATTCACTGTCAGCTGTCGGATCCAGTCCTACAAAGACTCGTTATCAAACCTCTGAGGAGACGACAGGAAGAAGACCAGGGGAGTCCAGAGAGGAGGCGAGGAATGAGAGAAATTCCCTCTCTGGTCTTCAGATCATTATCTCAGAGGTGGAGGGGGGAGGAGGGGGGAGGAGGGGGAGGAGGGGGAGGAGGAGTACAGCAGCTCCCATCAGTGGAGCTCCAGTGTTGAAATATTAATGCTGCCTTCTCCCAGTTCCACACACCCAGAACGGGCCGCAGGATGAAGAGGAACGTTCTACACACCTGAGAACCTGCAGAACCTGCAGCTCAGACACGGTGTGGTACCCGGCTCTCTAACAGCGCTCAGGGTCTGGGACTCACCGAAGGACTGGTGCACGTATGTGGCCTTGAGTCCCATGAGGTCCGGCAGCTGGTCGATGATGAACTCGCGCTCGGCGGTGCGTTTGTGGACGCGCTCGATGCTGCGGCGCTGCCAGTCCGTCCAGTAGATGTAGTCGCCGAGCAGAGTGAAGCCGAAGATGTGAGGAAGTTTGTCCTCCACCAGCACCCGTCTCCCTGACCCGTCCATGTTCATCACCTGAGGGACAGACAGGTGGAGAGGTGACACACTGAGCATGCCCAGAGGACGGCGACACACACTCACTCACTCACTCACTCTCACACACACACACACACACACACACAGCTATTCATAGAAACTGGATCTCTGCAGGTTTAAGACTCTGACTGGAACTGGATTAAAACACTGAAGATTTCCTGGAATAAAACTCAAAGAATTTAATAAGTAAATAGAGAAGAGTCACCTGTGATGACTCACCTGTGATGACTCACCTGTGTGCATCATTAAAACCACAGTGACAGTGAATATTAATTAGTGACTTTTGAAATTTATTTTTGCTGCTTTTCTTTATTTAAAAACATCGTCATGTTTTCGACTGGTGACCATGGAAACGAGGACAGTTAATGAGACTGAATTAGTCAATTAATCATGATCCTCACCCTCTCAATAAGTCAAAATATAAATCTATAATAACACAAAGCTGTCACATGTTTTGTTATGACTTTCTTTGTCACCAAATTAAGAGCTGATTATTCCTCCTATCAGAGCCTTCAGAATAAGAGTTTCTGTATTTAAAACCAGGACACACTGAAGGGAAGACGTCAGAGGACACACCGAAGACGTCGGAGCTGTATTTAAAACCGTCAGAGGACACACCGAAGACGTCAGAGGACACACCGAGGACGTCAGAGGACACACCGAAGACGTCAGAGGACACACCGAGGACGTCAGAGGACACACCGAAGACATCAGAGGACACACTGAAGACGTCAGAGGACGTCAGAGGACGTCAGAGGACACACTGAAGACGTCAGAGGACACACCAAGGACGTCAGAGGACACACTGAAGACATCAGCTTGAACATCAGTCTGGACAAACCAGACCTACGGGAGTCCACCGTGCTCCTGCTTTTACTTTGAAAAACTTAAGGACGCGGCGCGGCGCTGCTGAGAGCCTCCACATTGTGTTCCTCTGTGTGGACACTGAGCGTGCTCAGTGCGGCTCCGGCGAGCTGGCAGCACATCGCAGCGCCGCTAATTAGAAGCAACAGCCGGAGCAAACAAACAGCGGCAGCATATGGACGCCACATTTCTCCTCTTCCTCCCTCACACTCTGACGTCTCACTTGAGTCTCTACACTGGTCCAGAGACCAGGACCAGAGACCAGGACCGAGAGCCAGAAGAACTCAAGACCAGAGACCAGAGACCAGAGACCAGAGACCAGGACCAGAGACCAGAGACCAGAGACCAGAGACTAGAGACCAGGACCAGGACGAGGACCAGGACCAGAGACCAGAGACCAGAGACCAGAGACCAGAGACCAGGATCTCTGAAGGTCTCAGTCTAACTAACGATTATCTTCATCACTGAATAAATGAACGGTTTATAAACTCTTATAAACGAGAGAAGTTCCCGCCACAGTTTCCTAGAGGAGAAGTTTATTATTATTTATGTAAAACACTTTTTTTGTGGTTTTTTTGGTTAAAAAATGATTTAAACTTCAACTCATTTTGTTTGAATCCACTGGTGGTTGTGTTCAGATGCCTGGTGACGTCATGTGATTTAAGACTTCCTTTAAGACAAAGTATAAAACTATAATAGAAACCAGTGGAGACGACATGAGCTAGAATAATTGATCATTATATGACAGTGTGTAATGTCCTTGTGTTAATTAAATGTAATTAATTAAATGAAATGCACATGAACCTGATTATTAACATGTGAAGTTTCCTCAGTTTGTTCCAAAGGAATATTGGAACTAATACTGTTTACAGTTGTAACGATTAGTTGATTAATCAATTAGTCAATTGACAAAAATAATAATTATGCACCAATTTCAATATTAAAATAATAAATAAAAATAATAATCTTTTCTTCAACTTTTTCTCATTTAATAGAAAAATAATGAATCAATTTAATTGATGAATGAATTAACCGGGAGCTGCAGGTCTGGTTCACTCTGATTGATCCAGCTGATAATTGATAAACTGATCCTGGATCTGATGTCAGTCTGTGGAAACAAAGACAGACTGAAGTGTCCAGTGTTTCCTGTGTGCGACTCTTTGTGTGTCTGTGTTAAAGTGTGAACTCTGCTCAGATGTTTCTGAGACGTCGGCCGAGCGGAGAAATGTCAGGAATCTGAGGAAGAGAAAAAACTCAGAGATCGGCTCCTTTCACTGATCTACAGCGTGGAGCGACGCGATTCGCTGCTCCCAGAACAGCCCCTGCATGGCCGGCTGCCATCTTTCAAAACATCCTCCACACACACACACACACACACACACACACACACACTCTCTGGTGTGTATAAATATAAAATGAAGTTTCCATCCTCAGCTCGCGGCCTCAGCCAAAAGGTCTCCGCTGGTTTGGGAGTTGTGACCGCAGTGCGGCGACGGTTTCAGATTCTGGGTCTATTCTAAACAGAGCCGACCGCAGCTGGAGAGCACGCCGCAATTGGAACCAGATGTGGGATCTCGCCGCAAAAACCGGGTCCTCCGAGAAACCTCGAGGGGGGGGCAGCGGAGGCCCCTCAACCCCCCTCCGATCTGAGGGGCCCGCTGAGCGAGACCCCGACCACCACAACCACCTTTAAGAGGGACTGGAGAGGGGGCCGCATCTGAGGGGCT